ATAGGGACCCATAGGCTTCCCTAGCGTTTGTCGGCAGGCGCGGTCGTCATCGCAGGTGCCAAACTTTTCTGTGTGCGCGAACCAAGCCGAAATTGCTCTGGTGGGTGTATTTAAGCATGAGCCACCCGAATATGCAACAACATTCAGGTCGTTCGATGCTTTTCCCTACTCCTGTAGGGATCCATACACTTCCCTAGTGTTTGTCGGCAGGCGCTGTCAGAATTATATTCTTATACCTGCATGTAGTTCTAGCTGTAGTGTAGATATTAACTTTATAGGTGGTGCACCTCTTTGTTGCTATATGTACCCTAGTGCTATAGTGAACATTCATTCTCCTCTCATCTCTCGACTCTCCCTCCTTGGCACAAACTAGCTCGAACCCCTTGGCCTAGGCTACTAAGCCTAGGCCCACTTAAACCTAACTACCTACCTACTCCTACTATGCTGATATGGTATTAGAGACTGTTAAGTCCTGGCCTATGGGCCAGCCTCTCGCTTCCGCTGCTGTTTTTCCGGTCGCGCGCCTCGCGCGCGTGGCGATTTTCGTTCTGTCCCGCGCCCGGGTGGCGCGTGACGTTTTTTCTGCCCGTCGCAGACCCGCCCCTGGCGCCCGCGACGGCGCCCTGAGCCGCCGCGGACCCGCCCCTGGCGCCCGCGACGGTGCCCTGAGCCGCCGCGGACCCGCCCCTGGCGCCCGCGACGGTGCCCTGAGCCGCCGCGGACCCGCCCCTGGCGCCCGCGACGGTGTCCTGAGCCGCCGCGGACCCGCCCCTGGCGCCCGCGACGGTGCCCAGAGCCGCCGCGGACCCGCCCCTGGCGCCCGCGACGGTGCCCTGAGCCGCCGCGGACCCGCCCCTGGCGCCCGCGACGGTGCCCTGAGCCGCCGCGGACCCGCCCCTGGCGCCCGCGACGGCGCCCTGCGCCGCCGCGGACCCGCCCCTGGCGCCCGTGACGGCGCCCTGCGCCGCCGCGGACCCGCCCCTGGCGCCCGCGACGGCGCCCTGAGCCGCTGCGGACCCGCCCCTGGCGCCCGCGACGGCGCCTCTACCTCACCCCGCGTCTGCACTCGCTGCAGCCGCCCCTGCCCTACCCGCGCCGACCCTCTGTAGCCGCTTTGCGGCTTTATCCCCGCACCCCCCCCCCCCCCTCCTTCGTCTCCCTGAAGCCGTGGGGGGGAGGGTCTGGGGATGGCGGGTGTGGGGGTGATGGGTGGTGTGTTTCCCTTCCCCTCCTCCTCCTTTCGTTCCCACTGCTGCAGCTGCCGCTGGGGGGGAGGGTGTGAGGGTGTGGGGGAGCCAGGGGAGTGGCACTGGGGTGGCGGGTGTGAGACCAACCAGCCGCCGTCCCTGAGGTGGGGGGGGGGGGGGGGGGGTGGAGAGTAAAGGGGTGGCAGGAGTGCCTGCCCCTTTGCTGCTGTACCTGCTGTGTTGCCTTGCCTGCTGTTGCTGTTTTCTCTATCTGTGGTGTACCCCTGCAGGTTGTGTTCTTCACTTGGCTATTCCTGCATGCAGTTACGGGGGGGTGTCAAAAAAATATACTTATACATGCATGTAGTTCTAGCTGTAGTGTAGATATTAAATTTATAGGTGGTGCACCTCTTTGTTTGCTATATATACCCTAGTGCTATAGTGAACATTCATTCTCCTCTCATCTCTCGACTCTCCCTCTTTGGCACAAACTAGCTCGACCCCCTTGGCCTAGGCTACTAAGCCTAGGCCAACTTAAACCTAACTACCTACCTACTCCTACTATGCTGATAGGCGCGGCCGTCATCGCAAACGCCAAACTTTTCTGTGCGCGCGAACCAAGCCGGAATTGCTCTGGTGGGTGTATTTGAGCATGAGACACCCGGATATGCAACAACATCAGGTCGTTCGACGCTTTTCCATACGCCCATAGGGATCCATGCGCTTCCTTAGCATTTGTCGGCAGGCGCGGCCGTCATCGCAGGCGCCGAACTTTTCCGTGCGCGCGAACCAAGCCGGAAATGCTCAGGTGGGTGTATTTGAGCATGGGCCACCCGAATATGCAACAACATTCAGGTCGTTCGATGCTTTTCCTTACGCCCATAGGGATCCATGCCCTTCGTTAGTGTTTGTCGGCAGGCGCAGCCGTCATCGCAGGCGCCGGACGTTTTCGTGGGCGCGAACCAAGCCGGAATTGCTCTGATGTGTGTATCTGAGCATGGGCCACCCGAATATGCAACAAAATTCAGGTCGTTTGACGCTTTTCCCTACTCCCATAGGGACCCATGCGCTTCCTTAGCATTTGTGGGCAGGCGCGGCCGTCATCGCAGGTGCCGAACTTTTCTGTGCGCGCGAACCAAGCCAGAAATGCTCTGGTCCGTGTATTTGAGCATGAGCCACCCGAATATGCAACAACATTCAGGTCGTTTGACGCTTTTTCCTACGCCTGTAGGGATCCATACGCTTCCCTAGTGTTTGTCGGCAGGCGCGGCCGTCATCGCAAACGCCGAACTTTTCTGTGCGCGCGAACCAAGCCGGAATTGCGGTGGGTGTATTTGAGCATGACCCACCCAAATATGTAACAACATTCAGGTCGTTCGACGCTTTTCCATACGTCCATAGGGATCCATGCGCTTCCTTAGCATTTGTGGGCAGGTGCGGCCGTCATCGCAGGCGCCAAACTTTTCTGTGCGCTCAAACCAAGCTGGAATTGCTCAGGTGGGTGTATTTGAGCATGGGCCACCCGAATATGCAACAACGTTCAGGTCGTTCGACTCTTTTCCCTACGCCCATAGGGATCCATGCGCTTCCTTAACATTTGTTGGCAGTCGCGGCCGTAATCGCAGACGCCGAACTTTTCAGTACGCGCTAACCAAGTCGGAAATGCTCAGGTGGGTGTATTTGAGCATGGGCCTCCCGAATATGCAACAACATTCAGGTCGTTCGACGCTTTTCCTTACGCCCATAGGGATCCCTGCGCTTCCTTAGCATTTGTCGGCGGGCGCGGCCGTCATTGCAAGCGCCAAACTTTTCTGTGCGCGCGAACCAAGCCGGAATTGCTCTGGTGGGTGTATTTGAGCACGGGCCACCCTAATATGCAACAACATTCATGTCGTTCGACGCATTTCACTACTCCCATAGGGACACATGCGGTTCCTTAGAATTTGTCGGCAGGCGCAGCCGTCATCAGAAACGCCGAACTTTTCTGTGTGCGCGAACCAAGCCGGAATTGCTTTGATGGGTGTATTTGAGCATGAGCCACCCGAATATGCAACAACATTCGGGTCGTTCGACGCTTTTCCCTACTCCCATAGGGACCCATGCGCTTCCTTAGCATTTGTGGGCAGGCGCGGCCGTCATCGCAGGCGCCGAACTTTTCTGTGCGCGCGAACCAAGCCGGAATTGCTCTGGAGGGTGTATTTGAGCATTGACCACTCGAATTTGCAACAGCATTCAGGTCGTTCGACGCTTTTCCCTACGCCTGTAGGGATTCTTGCGCTTCCTTAGTATTTGTCGGCAGGCGCGGCCGTCATCGCAGGTAAGAATGTCAACTTTCCCATAAGAGTGTCTCCTATAAGAGCATCAACTCACCTATAAGAGCGGCAACTCTCCTATAAGAGCGTCAACTCTCATATAAGAGCAGCAACTCCGCTATCAGTGCGTCAACTCCCCTATAAAAGCGTCAACTCTCAAATAAGAGCGTCAATTCTCCTATAAGAGCATCAATTCCCCTTTAAGAACGTCAACTCTCATATAAGAGCGTCAACTCCTCTATAAGAGCGTCAACTCTCCTATAAGAGCGTCAACTCTCATATAAGAGCGTCAACTCCCCTATAAGTGCGTCAACTCCCCTATAAAAGTGTCAACTTTCATATAAGAGCGTCAATTCTGCTATAAGAGCGTTAAGTCCCCTATAAGAGCGTCAACTCTCATATAAGAGCGTCAACTCCCCTATAAAAGCGACAACTCTCCTATAAGAGAGTGAACTATCTTATAGGAGCGTCAACTTCCCTACAAGAGTGTGAACCATCTTATAAGAGCGTCAACTACCCTATAAGAGAGTCAACTCCCATATAAAAGCGTCAACTCCCTTATAAGAGCGTCAACTTTCCCATAAGAGTGTCAAATCTCCTATAAGAGCATCAACTCTCCTAGGAAAACATTAACTCCCCTATAAGAGCGTCCTCTCCTATAAGAGCGTCAACGCGCCAACTCTCCTATACGAGCGTCAACTCTCCTATAAGAGAGTCAACTATTATATAAGAGCATGAACTCTCTTGTAAGAATGTCAACTTCCCCATAAGAGTGTCAAATCTCCTATAAGAGCATCAATTCACCTATAAGAGCGGCAACTCTCCTATAAGAGCGTCAACTCTCCTGTAAGAGCGTCAACTCCCCTATAAAATCGTCAACTCCCCTATAAGAGCGTCAACTCCTCTATTAGAGCGTCAACTCCCCTTTATGTGCGTCAACTCCCCTAAAAAAGCGTCAACACTCATATAAGAACGTCAATTCCCCTATAAGAGCATCAACTCCCCTATAAGAACGTCAACTCTCATATAAGAGCGTCAACTCCTCTATAAGAGCGTCAACTCCCCTATAAGAGCGTCAACTCCCCTATAAGAGCGTCAACTCCCCTATAAGAGCGTCAACTCCCCCATAAGAGCGTCAACTACCCTATTAAAATGTGGACTATCTTATAGGAGCGCCAACTCTCCTATAAGAGTGTCAAATCTCTTATAAGAGCATCAACTCCCCTATATGAGTGTCAACTCTTTTATAAGAGCATCAACTCTACTACAAGAGCGACAACTCCCCTATGAGAGCGTTAACTCTCCTATAAGAGCGTCAACTTTTATATATGAGCATCAACACTCCTATAAAAGTGTCAACACCCTATAAGAGTGTCATCTTTCCTATAAGAATGTCAACTATCCTATAAGAGCGTCAACTTTTCTGTAGAAGCATCAACTCCTATAAGAGCGTCAATTATTCTATATGAGCGTCAACTTCCCTTTAAGAGCGTCAACTCCCCTAGGAAAACATTAACTCCCATATAAGAGCGTCCTCTCCTATAAGAGCGTCAACTGTCCTAAAAGAGCGCCAACTCTCCTATACGAGCGTCAACTCTCCTATAAGAGTGTCAACTTGTATATAATAGCATCAACTCTCTTAAGTGTGTCAACTTTCCCATAAGAGTGCATTCGCATAAGAATGGGGCGGGGTGATGGAAAGCGGGAGAATGGGGCGGGGTGATGGAAAGCGGGAGAATGTGGCGGGGTGATGGAAAGCGGGAGAATGGGGCGGGAGATGGGGCGGGGTGATGGAAAGCGGGAGAATGGGGCGGGGTGATGGAAAGCGGGAGAATGGGGCGGGGTGATGGAAGGAGGGAGAATGGGGCGGGGTGATGGAAAGCGGGAGACTGGGGCGGGGTGATGGAAAGCGGGAGAATGGGGCGGGGTGATGGAAGGAGGGAGAATGGGGCGGGGTGATGGAAGGAGGGAGAATGGGGCGGGGTGATGGAAAGCGGGAGAATGGGGCGGGGTGATGGAAAGCTGGAGAATGGGGCGGGGTGATGGAAAGCGGGAGAATGGGGCGGGGTGATGGAAAGCGGGAGAATGGGGCGGGGTGATGGAAAGCGGGATGGGGCCGGGTGATGGAAAGCCGGAGAATGGGGCTGGGTGATGGAAAGCGGGAGTATGGGGCAGGTGATGGAAGGAGGGAGAATAGGGCGGGGTGATGGAAGGAGGGAGAATGGGCCGGGGTGATGGAAGGAGGGAGCATGGGGCGGGGTGATGGAAGGAGGGAGAATGGGGTGGGGTGATGGAAAGCGGGAGAATGGGGCGGGGTCATGGAAAGCGGGAGAATGGGGCGGGGTGATGGAAAGCGGGAGAATGGGGCGGGGTGATGGAAAGCGGGAGAATGGGACGGGGTGATGGAAAGCGGGAGAATGAGGCGGGGTGATGGAAAGCGGGAGAATGTGGCGGGGTGATGGAAAGCGGGAGAATGGGGCGGGGTGATGGAAAGCGGGAGAATGGGGCGGGGTGATGGAAAGCGGGAGAATGGAGCGGGGTGATGGAAAGCGGGAGAATGGGGCGGGGTGAGGGAAAGCGGGAGAAGGGGGCGGGGTGATGGAAAGCGGGAGAATGGGGCGGGGTGATGGAAAGCGGGATGGGGCGGGGTGATGGAAAGCGGGAGAATGGGGCGGGGTGATGGAAAGCGGGAGAATGGGGCAGGGTGATGGAAGGAGGGAGAATAGGGCGGGGTGATGGAAGGAGGGAGCATGGGGCGGGGTGATGGAAGGAGGGAGCATGGGGCGGGGTGATGGAAGGAGGGAGAATGGGGTGGGGTGATGGAAAGCGGGAGAATGGGGCGGGGTCATGGAAAGCGGGAGAATGGGGCGGGGTGATGGAAAGCGGGAGAATGGGGCAGGGTGATGGAAGGAGGGAGAATGGGGCGGGGTGATGGAAGGAGGGAGAATGGGGCGGGGTGATGGAAGTGTTAGAATGTAGAACTGAACGAGAATGTGTGAAACTAGGCAGCAGGGTGATACAAGTAGGAAACCCTAGCAATTTTGTACCCCCTAAGGCTAAACCCACTATAGCCTACACAATATGAACATGTATAATGTTTGACACACCCCCATAGGCTAAGTGGGAGACAACCAGATGGTCACAAGACCAGTCAAAGCAAAGCAAAGCAAGCTCAGGGTGGATCTCAAGGAAACCACACAAATTCCGAGCACAAGCAAGTGGTCACAAGACCAGTTCACATGCAGTTTGATAATATAACAAGAGGTACAGTGATCACAACCTAACAAGAGTAAACATGCAGGTATATATATAGAGATCACAGTACAAGCAGAGTCAAGAAGTGAGCAAGTGAGGGAGAGTAGGCACAAGGCCTAGAACAGTACAGAAACGCTGATGGTCACAAGGCTGAAGCGCCTTGGTGAACACATCAGCAGTGTTGGCCCGAGTGGCCACGTAACGCAGACGAAGCTGACCACGCTGCTGCAGCTCTCGAGAAAGGAAGTAGCGCAGAGCGATGTGCTTCGTCCTGTGCTCCAGTCTGTGCTCCTCACACAAGGCAATGGCGGCCTTGTTGTCAACGTACAGCACTGGAGGAGAACGAGGCCGCTCTCCCAGGTCGGTCAGCAGGTAGGTGAGCCAGCGTAACTCCTGTGCAGCCATGGCTGTGGCGTAGATCTCAGCCTCACAACTGGAGCTGAGAACAGAAGAAGAGCGAGTAGAACGCCAAGAAACTGAACCAGAGCCAAGGCTGAAGGTGTAACCCTGAGACGACCGCTGCGTAGCCTGGTCGTCAGCCCAAGAAGCGTCTGAGTGACCCGTGAGGACAACGTCGCTCCGACCTCCAAGCACGAGCCCCATGCCCGACGTACTGCACAAGTAGCGCAACACCCTCTTAGCGGCATCCATGTGCTCCTTCCGGTGACGGCCGGGAGCGACATAGCGTGCTAGGATGCTAAGAGGGTATGCCAGGTCAGGTCGAGTGCAGGTCATCAGGTACATGAGGCAGCCCACAAGCTCTGGATACGGGCCACTCGGCTCTACGGACTCATCCGAAGGCAGAGCTGAGAGCGAGTGACCGGTAGGCAGAGGAGTGGGCTGAGGCGAGGAGTACGTGAAGCGGAAGCGCTGAAGGACCAGCTGCACCATGTGTGACTGAGTCAAGGTGATGGTGCGCTGTGCTCTGTCCCGGGTGATCCGCAAGCCAAGATAGCTTGTCAGCTCACCCAGGTCTGTGCACGTGTGTCTCTTCTGCAGCTCCGACTTCACGTGGGCGAGTGCCTCAGTGTCAGCAGTAGCAAAGACCAAGTCGTCTACGTAAACAAGAACGTAGAACGGCGGCAGAGTGGTGTCGGTGCGTAGAAACAGCGACGGGTCAGCAGTAGAAGGAGCAAACCCAAGAGCAGCAAGAGTAGTCCTCAGTGTGTCGTGCCACTCACGGGGTGCCTGGCGGAGACCGTAGACTGGCCGCCGGAGGCTCCACTGGGTACCAGGAGGGAACGACCCAGTGAAGCCAGGTGGGCGGCGCAGCCAGATCTCCTCGTGCAGGCTGCCCTGTAAGAACGCAGTGCTGAAGTCAAGAGAGTGGAGCTCGTAGTCACGCTGAGCAGCGACGTGCAGCAGAACCCGAAGAGTGGTCATCTTCGGGGTCGGGGAGAAGGTCTGGAAGAAGTCAACTCCCTCTCGCTGACTGAAGCCTCGTACAACGTAACGCGCCTTGAAGACAGGCGGAGAACCCGGCGGCCGCTTCACCCTGAAAATCCACATGCCACTGACGATGTTCGCCCCAGGTGGGGGAACCTCGTCGACGTAGGTGCCTGTGGACTTCCAGGATGCCATCTCTGCGTCCATGGCTGTCTGCCACTGAGAGGAGTAGGGACCCTCCATCGCCTCTGCGTAGGAGCGTGGGGTCGGGATGTCTGGTGCATCCGGGTCTCCCTCAGGGGCAACTAGCATGGACACGAGATGAGGCAAAGCAGCGGCAAAGCACTCAAACTCCTCCTGTCTGTCCTCAAAGACGTCCGTGCCAAGAGCACACTCACCCCCGACAGACGGAGGACAGACAGACTCAGACTCAGACTCAGCAACAAGGCTAGCGGCGTAGTCTAGACGACAGGCAGCAGCAAAGTCAACAAGCTCAGCGACTAGAGCAGACGCAGCAGAGGACTCAAAGGAAGGGTCAGTGACAGCAGTGGCAAGGAGACGCGTGACAGTAGGACTGGCAGCACGAAGAGAGTCAGACTCCGGGTCAGCAAGAGCAGGAAGAGAGGACGCTGGTGGAGACGGCAGTGGGACACGCTGTGGAGCAGTAGAGGGACGCAGGGTCATATAGTGAGTGCCAAGGACAGGAGGAGGACGCTGACGTAGAACACGACGACCAGCGCGGACAGGCGACTCTGGACGCGTCTCAGGCGACGGAGGACGAGACTCAGGCTCACGACGCTCCGTAAGACCTCCCGTCGGCGCAGTGTAGGGAGAAGGACCAGGAAGTGGAGAGACTGGCTGTAACTGTGACTGCGACTGGACAAGCGGTGGACTCAGTAGGGGAGGAGTAGGACCAGGAGAGGGCGGAAGGGCAAGAACCTGCTGAAGGAGCGGAACGTAGTACGGCCGTGGCCGCTCAGCACCTCCAGCTCCAACCCCCTCAGCAGGGCCAGTCCCAGCAGCTCCAGCAGCACCGCCAGCAGCAGCAGGGTCCCCAGCAGCTCCAGTACCAGCAGCACCTCCAGCAGTGCCAGCAGCACCACCAGCAGCAGCAGCACCTCCAGCAGCTCCAGCAGCACCAGTACCAGCAGCACCTCCAGCAGCGCCAGCAGCACCGCCAGCAGCAGCAGTACCACCAGCAGCTCCAGTAGCTCCAGCACCAGTAGCACCTCCAGCAGCGCCAGCAGCACCAGCAGCACCTCCAGCAGCGCCAGCCGCACCGCCAGCAGCAGCAGCACCTCCAGCAGCTCCAGCAGCACCAGAACCAGTAGTACCTCCAGCAGCGCCAGCAGCACCTCCAGCAGCAGCAGTACCTCTAGCAGCTCCAGCAGCACCAGCAGCACCTCCAGCAGCGCCAGCCGCACCGCCAGCAGCAGCAGCACCTCCAGTAACTCCAGAAGCTCCAGAGTCCACGACACCGGGAGCGCCACTCCGGAGACTGCAGCGCCTAGCGTACCACTCTCGGAGCTGCTGGGGAGAGGGCAGCTCCCGCCTAGGAGGGGAAGCACTAGCACCAGCTCCGGCACCACTCCGAGCTCCAGAAGCACCTCTCCTGAGGCTGCAGTACTGTAAGTACCACTCACGCAGCTGCTGCGAGGAGAGGCCTCCCCCAGGTGCAGCACGCTCAGGCTCAGTACTCTCAGACGTAGCACTCCCAGGCTCAGCACCCCCAGGCTCAGCACCTCCAGACTCAGCACCCGCAGGCTCCGCACCCCCAGGCTCAGCACCCCCAGACTCAGCACCCGCAGGCTCCGCACCCCCAGACCCCGCACCCCCAGGCTCAGCACCCCCAGACTCCGCAACCCCAGGCTCCGCACGCTCAGGCTCAGCACCCCTGGCAGGACGAGAGTCGACAGCTACCTCGACAGGCTCAACCGGGTCTACCTGGGACACACCTGAGGGAGCGGCACCCTGAGGGGGGAGGGGGTCTACCACAGCAGCACCTGGCGCGAGGAAGAGAGGCGGGGGGGGGAGCGGGGCAGTGCGGTAGGGGAAGAGGCGGTAGTAGGGCACGGACTCGTCAAAAGTGACGTCCTGAGAGGGCAGGACACGGCGCGAGGTGGCGTGGTAAAACTGCCAACCAGACGCGTCCGGGACAAAGCCAAGGAAGACACAGGGAACAGCGCGGGAGGAGAGCTTGTCCGCGAACGTATCGCGAACAAAAGCTCGGGACCCCCAGACCCGAAAACGCGACGCATCGCCAACCTCTCCCGTCCAACGCAGTGTCGGCGAAGTCTCCGGAACGGAGACACGGGGCCAGAGGTTGAGCTGATGCGCAGCGTATCGGACCGCAAACGGCCACAGAAAGTGGGGGGCAGCCGCATGGATCAAGGAGGTACGAGCGACCTCCATGACCAAACCAATGCGGCGCTCAGCAACCCCATTCTGCTGTGGAGAGGCCGGAAGCGTGAACGACTGGCGGATGCCGTGCTCCGCACAGTAGGCTGCCAAGAGGTCAGAGGAGAACTCACCACCTCTGTCAGAGTGCAGACGCAGGACAGGAAAGTCCGAGTGGAACCGCTCACTGAGCTGGAGACGAGCAGCGCGGATCCAAGGGATCAAAACATCAGGGACCTCACCCTTGGTGCGCAAGGGGAAGACCGTGGTGTAGCGCGAGTAGTCGTCAACAACGATCAGGAAGTACCTCTCCTGACCCTGTCCACGGACGCGGGCTGGGCCCCACACGTCCATGTGGAGCGTCTGCAAGGGAGCAGTCGTCGGGGGAAACAAGGAGGAGTGAGGAGCGGCGCGCTGCCGCCCCTCGACACAGGGAAGGCAGGGAGGAGCAGGCGAGGGTGGGAGGGGAGGGAGAACCCTGGGAAGACCAGAGACAAGGTACCGGTTGTGCATGGCACGAAGGCGCTGCACTGACGGGTGACCAAGACGGTGGTGCCAGAGGACAGTCTCGTGTGCCAGAGAGCGACACGAGCAGGGGGCAGACAGCTGACCCGACGCAGACGCAGACGCAGCTACCTGTGGGGACTCAGTGGTCAGTGTGTACAGGTCCGACCCCGGCTGCCGAGTAAAGGTAGCCAGGTGGCGGCCCGTCCGAGCGCACGTGCAGTGTGTCACACGCTCGTAGGCAGGGGTAAACTGGTGGACACCCCCGTCCTGGAGCGCACTACCCGCCACCAAGTTCGTAGAGAAC